GTTTATTTGAAATCACAAGCTTTTGAAGCGCTGCCCCCTTAGTCCTCAAACCACTGACTTACCACTCTAAAGGGAGTGCAGGATTAGAGAGACCTAGATGTATATGTGCTTAAGTCATTACAGGTAACAGGACAGATGAAGAAAGCTTTTAACAAAAACACAGTATCCTAGGCTTTATTAATAGAGGCATAGAGAACATGAACAAGGATGCTGACCTTCTATAAAACACTTGTTAAACCTTACCATAGGGGAGGTAATTGCCTAGTAGTATTGTAGCTAGACTATTTATGTGGAGACCCAAGTTTGAATTCTGCTGTGGTGAATGGTGGAGTTTGAGTTCAGTAAAAATGATGACAATGAAACCATCACCGATTGTCAGGTAAAAACCCATCTGTTTCACTAATGTCCTTCAGGGAAGGAAACTGCCGTCCTTACTTGGTCTAGTCTACGTGTGACTCCAGACCCACAGCAATGTGGTTGACTCGTAACTGCCCTCTGGGCAATAAGGGATGGGCAATAAATGCTGCCTAGACAGCACTGTCTACAAACTGTGAATGAATAAAAAAACTGGAGTATTGTGAGCAGTTTAGGGCACTACACTTTGGGAGCAATGTGAAAGTATTGGAAAGAGTGCAGAAAAAGTTTGCTAGCATGACCAACACAAAAACAGAAGTTGCTGGAATAGCTCAGCAGGTCTGGCAGCCTCTGTGAAGAGAAATCAGAGATAACATTTTGAGTCCGTGACCCTTACTAGCATGATTCCAGGGATGAGAAATCACAGATCTGAAGAATGATTGGAAAGTTGGGACTTTTGTTTCCTTAAAAAGGAGAAGGCGAATGGGAGACTTTGATAGAAGTTTCCAGAATCATGATCGACCTGGAAAGAGTAGTTAGGAAGAAACTATTCCTAATCATAAAAGGATCAGGAATTAGACAGCACAATGTTATAATCAGACCCGGGCGAAGTTCCCTAATTTAGGAAAGTTCTAGATGGGGTATCCCAAATTGTTAAGCTTCTGGGTGATGATGGATGAACTGACCCTCCGTCTTTATTCACCTGCCCCATCAATTAGTCATAATAAGGTTAATTAAAAATAATTCCTTTCCTACTGGTTGGCCTCCACCAAGATCCGTGTAAATTCATGATTTAAAAGGAGCTAATTTAGCCAGGTTTTCTTGGGTTAGTGAAGTAATGAGTATGAAGAAATAGTAATGCAACACACATGTTAACAGATTAGATTGAGGACAGAGTCCAAAACGATGAAAGTTAAAAGAAATAATGTTTATCTCTGGGTCATTTGTGAAGCTTGGATTGTGGAGCATAGATAGTTGAGCAGTTGATTTTGAGATTCTCAACTTTGCTGGTTGGCTGAAATTCTTTTGGCCTGGTTCCTTTTGACTGTTTTGCTGCCAGGCTTTTAGCATTGAGAGCAATAGAGTCCTTTACCTGCAATGCAGGGCAACTAGTTCTTGGACTGTGATTTTCATAGCACGCCTACGCTGAAACCCAGGCTAATACACATGCACATCAGGGCCCACTAGAACACACTGATGAGTGCTGGGATTTGCTGTTAGCCCCTTTCCCTGTGAAGTCCATAAAGGGGAAAACACAAAGATGCCTCCCACCCAGCCTGCTGGCTTTTCTCCCATCATGTCCACAGTCTGCAAATTAGGAGATTACAGATCAGTTTGTTGTGCATTTCTCTGTTTGAACCTTCCTTGACACCTTCAGGTGTGACAATCCAGGGTTCCTTTCCAGACAGTCACTGAATTTACATTCACAGTTAGTTTTTGGTTACATCTCCTCTTTAAAAAAACACACACATGGTAATGAAGAGTTCAGTATGTCCCTGGGTGATACAGGACTATGATCCAACATCATGACAATGGATGTTCTAATGTCATTTGCATATTTTTCACATGCCGAGTAGCTAGGATCGGGAACACAGTGTCTGGAAGTGTGGCGGAGGCAGGTTGAAGCAAGGAATTCAAGAGGGAATTGGATGACTGTTTGAACAAAAAACAATATGTACAGTTACAGGGGAAAGACTGGAGATTGGCATCCGGTCATTACACCTATTCAGAGAGCCAGTGCAAACACGATGGGCCAAATGGTCTCTTTCTACATTGTAACAACTCCATGATTTTGTGAAACCTGGAATTTGAACTTTTACATGAAACCTTCAGGCTCAGAGCCAAGTGTGCTACCAGCTGAGTTATGGCTGGCACATTGACAAAGGTTGAAAAGATCATATTTGTCATTATAAAACTGGATTATTTGTCTTCAGGGGAAGCTATACAGAGAAGAGCCAAGTGTGTTCATCCCCTGGTGTTTGGAGGAATGCTCTGTAGACATTTCGAAGGATGCTGGGCAGGTCTCATTTCAGTTCTATTCCCAGCTGACTTGTCCAACTGGAGAATTACTTTGTCTATTTATTTGTATTCTAAGTTCGGGACCTCATGGGACTGGGCTGTAACTCAGCAAGCAGCTGTCTATTTTCACAGCACCCAGTCATACACATAATCTGTCAATTGTATGATGATAGTTTGTCATAGTCTTCAATGCCTAGATCATCTAGATATATCAAGCAGCTGATTATGTTCCACTGCATAAACCTGAGTAATATTGACGTTATTCATTGCTCAGCGAGTCTCCAAGTTTGACTGTCTTTCTCAAATTCCAGTAAAATATGTCCCTCCACAGGTTGAAATCAATTCACAAAGTTACAAATAAGGAACATTATTTTCTTGTAAATCAGTTCATCTAACGCCACCTGCAAAAGATTGATTCATTCTCCGTATTGGTCCCTTTGTGCTTCTCCCAGCTCTCCTCACCTTTCAGTTAATAGCCTTTTCTCATCCTGTCTCTGTGCTGACGGCAGATCCCTAGTTCATGGTCTCCTCCATCCTTTCAATCTTGTGCCAATCTTTTTATTTTTCAATAACTTCCTCCATTCTCAAGGCTTCCAGCATTGATATTCTCTTCTTCCCGCTTTTTCCCCAAAATATTTTCTCCAGGATGTCTCGCACCAGCCCATTTCCTCTCAGGATGTACTCTGCCCAGACTGTCTACCTTTTCCTAACTACATCCAATTAATTGCTTTGTTCATTCACTCATTCATTATTTGTTACTTCTGATCTTTTGCTACTCACTCAAATTCACACTTCAAAGTCACTTAACAATTTGATCTCTTTCTGTACAGTCCAATTTTGTCAAACATACAAAGCAACACTCCAAATTGACCTCTTTACAAGTCAATTCTTGACCACCTTTACCTTCAGCTGTCTAAGCTGTCCCCTCAACCCTCCCCACTTCAACTCTCTTTCCCTCAACTCTCTTTCCCTCAACCCTCTTCCACCTCAACCCTCTCCCACCTCAACCCTCTCCCACTTCAGCCTTCTTCCACCTCAACCCTCTCCTACCTCGACGCTCTCCTACATCGACCTTCTCTTTTCTCTACACCTCCCTTTCTTCCTTTAAGACCCATCCCTAAAACTCATTTCCTTCACTGAGCTCTGCCAATATTTCCTTCTCTGGTTTTGGTGCCAATTCTTTGCTGGCTGTTGGGGGCTTTTCATAATTTCATATTTGCCATGTGAATATTGCTCTTATCCATCATATTTCTATAAATGTATTTCTAGTTAAGATCCATTAGGTCATTAAAAGCCTTCATTAGTTTTTGCTTTTTTCAACCTAGTGTCCACTCCTTTGAAAGCATCAATGTTTGTTTTTCCACATTACAACAATCAGTAAACTCTAGAATTGCACATTGTAAGTAAAGCATTCTGAGATGCCTATGACAGGATGTGATATCACATCCGTTCAAGCCTTTAAAATTTACATGAGAGAATAGGCATTAGGAGCAACAGGAGGCCACTCAGCCCTTTAAGCCTGGTCTGCCATTCATTATGGCTGATCTTGTTGTGTTCTCACCTCCTTGTCTGCCTTCAGAACCCTCAGCTCCCTTATCAATCAACAATCCATCCAATTCAGTCTTAAAGGCCCAGTCTCCATTACCTTCAGGAGAAGTGAATTTCACACTCAAATGATCTGTTGGGAGAGAAAAATCTTATCCTTAATCTTAAATTATCTCCTCTAGTTTTAACCTCCCTCATAAGAGGAACTATTCTCCAGGTATCTACCCTCCAAATCATATCTGATTCAATAAGATTAATGATGTGCAGTCTGTTTGAAATTTAAATTGGAAGAATTGTATTTGTAAATGATAAAATCTATATCTATATCATTCTTTAGTGGTTTCAGCTTTAGCTTAGTCGATAGCACTCATGTTCAAATGTTAGAAAGTTGTAGATTCAAACCCATATCCAGAGACCTGACCCTATAATCTAGGTTAAGACACCCAATGAGGGAGTGTTGCTTTGTTATTTTTTAGATGTTAAAGCATCCAAACCCAACATTAACCCTTCCTGCAATGTCAGGGTGTGAAAGATCTCATGTCAATAGTTTAGAGAACAGCCGGGAGTTTTCCTCAGTGTCCTGGCCAACATTTATCACTCATCCAATGACTAAAATAACAGCTTATTCTGTCTTTAAGATATTACCAGTCTGTGGGGTGTAGCTGAGAGCAGATTGGGTGCCATTGTTACTACATTACACAGTGTGTACGCTTAAGAAGTGCTTAAATTGTCTGCAAAATGCTGTGGGACATCCTGAAGTTGCCTCATATATATTTACAACTTTAAAAGCAACTGTCCAAAGAAAGTAACCAGGTTCTTCATCGACAAGTAGCATTTTAAGAGCTGCAAGTTCAACTAATTCTGATGGGCACTAGGACCCAGATGCAACAATTTAGTATCAGGTATTTAATCACTTTAAGCCTTTGTAGATCTCCTGAACTCTACATGTCTGTGTGTGTGAGTGCTGTGTGTAATTTTACTCCAGCAGGTGGGGGTGTGGTGCTTTTTGGAGTCTGCAGCTCCAGATCCAGCCTTGGTGTCAGCGAGTAAATCACCAGTCGACAAGCCAAGAGTGCCAGTGTTCTTCCATCGCACAGCACTGTTATTGCTTCAGTCCAGTGGGAGAGGGATAGAGACAGTCCCAGACTGCCAGTGCTTCACTGTACATCTGAATGAGGTACTCCCAGTGTCAGCAACCAAGCAAACACAGAGGAAGAGAAGAACAGAGAGAGGGAGGAGGAGAGAGAGCAACAGAAAGAAAAGGCATTCAGTTAAAAGCCATGCTCGCTCGTCTCAGACCTGACTTTACAAAAGGGAAATTTACAGATTAATTTGAGGTGTGAGTGTGAAGAACGAAGATCCGACCACATTGGAGGATGAATTGAAAATGTTAAAATCCCCGGGGTATTTAAAGCACGACCACTGACAATTTGAAGACGTCGGGAAGAATTGTTTGTTTACAAACCTCGCTCATCCTCAAGACTGTGGAGGATTTTCTGTTAAATTGCAATATCAGGGTGGATCAGATCTGGGGGGGTCCAGGCAGCGTTGGAAAATGTCCCACACATCAGGGGAAAAAGGTGTAAAGCAGAATAATAGGAAAGCCAGCAATGATGGAGCCTGTTCCAGACTTTACCTTGCCTTTATATTAATATTACTTACCCTGACACCACGAGTGGATTCTTCCTGGTGGTAAGTCCAATTCATTCAAAATCGTGAGCAAAATCTTTCGCACTTGTTTTGCTGAATGGTTTGTGGGATGGGGAACGTTTTCTTAACCCAAGGTGGGCTCCTCAATGCCAAAAGAATACAAAAGGCACTGGAAGAAACTCACTCAGACGGTGTTAAAAGCAAGCTTAAAACGCTCAATAAATATTGAACAGGCTAGGGAACATTACTGTAGAAAATTGAAGGCTGAGGACAGCCTAGGTGGAGATTTTTTTTTAAATTATGAAGTGATTCAATTGGGTAGACGTAGAAAAAACATTTTTACTCATGGGTAAGTCCAGATATGGAGCGTTAACAGTAATAAATCCAATAAGAAATTCAGGAGAATTTACCTGGAGAGAATTGTTAGAATGTGGACCTTTTAAATTGGTAAGTGAGGCTTATAGCATAGATGTCTTAAAAGGAAAACTATACAAACATATGAGTTGTTTATGCTGACAGTGTTAAATTGGATGGGGTGGAAGGAAGTTTATGTGCAGCACCAGCATAGACTCATTGGGCTGAATGGCCTATTTCTGAGTTTCAAATTCTATGCAAGCTTTTGCACTGCCCCCAAATCCTGTTTGAACCCCTTTGCATTCCCAACCTGCTCAGAACACTGCAATCTCACTGGACAGCGTTAACGAGTACACTCTCTAACTGGGATGATGGTGCCTTATCCCTCCTAATCCTTACGACCTTTCTGCTGACAGACATAGCTCCGTCGCTACAGAGTCAGAGGGTCATGAGTATGGTCTGATTCTGGGGATTCGCCTTTCCAATGAGACTTTAAACTGAGACTGTCTGCTGAGAGTGATCCATTTCAAAGGACAGCAGTAGAGATCTCTTGGATTATATTTATCTCTCAATCAACAAAACACAGTATCTCGTCATTTTCACATTGTTGTACCCACATTGACAGCTGTGTTTCCAACAATGACTACTTGGAACTAGAGAAAGGTTACAGAAAAAGGCCATTCAGTCATCATGCTAGCTCTCTGCAAGACCAACTCAGCTGGTCTCATTCAGCCACCTTTTCCCTGTAACCCTGCAAACTTATTTCTCTGAAGGTGCTTACATAATGCTATTTTGACCTGCTGTGGTTAAATCTGCCTCCACCACACTCTCAGATCCCAAAAGGCGCGGTGCGTAACAAAGTGGTTTCTTTTGTCTCTGTTGCTTCTTTTGCCAGATCCCAAGGTTTCTAGTTCCCAATCCTTCCCCAGTCAGGAACTGTTTCTCCCTATCTACCCTGCCTGGATCCCTCATGATCTTGAACACGTCTATCAAATCTCCTCTTAATCTCCCCTTTTCCAATAAGAACAGCCCGAGCATTTCCAATCTATCCACTGAAGTTCCTCATCCCTGGAACCTCGGTTGTGAGTCTTTACAACATCGTCCCCATTGCTTTCAGTGGCTTCTTAAAATGTGCTGCCTCAAATTGAAAGCTGTGCCTCAGTTGAGGTCAAACCATTGTTCAATACAATAATTTCCTTGTTTTCATATTCTGTGCACCTGTTTGTAATGCCTATAGTCGCTTATACTTTATTAACTGTTTTCTCATCCTGGCCAACAACCTTCAACACTCTGCGTACATACATCCTCATGACCCCTCTGTTCCAGCATCCTTTCCTAAGTTTTAACCTTCAGCTTACACTGTCCATCCTCATTCTTTCTACCCAAATGAAACACTTCACACTACGATGCATTAAATTTCATCTGCACCCCCCTTCTCTACCCATTTCACCAGCCTTGCTGAAGCTTATCACTACTTGCACAGTTCACAGTACTTCCGTGATCTCTGTTGCCCACAACTCCAGAGACTCCGCCCCACATTCTCAAGTCTAGATTGTTAATAAGAAAACCAAAGGAAAAGCAGTCCTCGCACCCCCTGCCCCAACCATCTTACCCTCACCCACTACCCCCACTCACCCACCCATGTGGAATCCCATTTTATTACCATCCTTCAGTCTGAAGAGCAACCTGTCCACCATTACTGGGGCCAAATGACAGGCAACAGCCTCATAGCCATGCTTCGATTGTCCCTTTTAGTCCATGAACTCTACCTTTACTGATAAGTCTGTTGTGTGGCACGTTATCAAGTGTCTTTCGGAAGCACATGTCTACCACATCAACTGATTACTGTTGCCAAACCTCTTCATTACCTCAAAAAACACTCATGCAATTTATGTTAAACATCATTTGCCACGATCAAATCCATGTTTCTCTTCATTAATTCACGTATATTTGTCCAAATGAATGTTAATTTTATTCAGAATTATTGATTTTAAATGTTTTCTCAGCCTGTACAGTTTTCACTCCGGCAATATCCTTGGATGAATCTTCCTCTATTCCTGATTAACTTTTCAACTTTAATTGCAGCCAGTCTAACACCTTTTTACAATTTCAGTCCAATCTGTACCTTGAAACTTCTTTCACCATGCATTTATGAGCATCTTCTTCCTTGCTAAAGACAGGTGCAAAGTACTCACTTAGTACCTCAGCTGTGTCTGAAATGGATCTTATCCAGGAAGTGAATTAATCCAACAAGCTTCTCCCTGACAGGAACTGTAGTTTCAGTACAGTCCCACACAACTACTGCCCATAAAAGTCCCTGTTTAAACACAGCAGGCCAAGCAGCATCAGAGGAGCAGAAAGGCTGACGTTTCGGGCCCAGGCCCTTCATCAGAAAAGGGGGAGGGGAAGGGGCTTCTGAAATAAATAGGGAGAGAGTGGGAGGCGGATAGAAGATGGATAGAGGAGAGGATAGGTGGAGAGGAAACAAACAGGTCGAAGAGGCGGGGATGGAGCCAGTAAAGGTGAGTGTAGGTGGGGAGTTAGGGAGGGGATAGGTCAGTCCAGGGAGGACGGACAGGTCAAGGGGGC